ACACAGATCTAATAGCTAATGTCCTCAAACACAACTTTCACTTTATATTAAGCTAATTGTCCTTTTTTCTCCATTGCTCTAGTCCTACAATGAAACAGTAGTGTAAAATAAAATGATACAACTGTAAATTTTGTTCCATTCTTAGTTAGACCCTCTGTATTAGCCTTTCCTTAATTCCCCAATTGCCCACAGCACTTGACAAATCTTTGTCATTCTCAAATCCCCTCTTCCACTCCACCAGAAGTGACACTGCCTAGTATTTCTCAAGAGTATATACCAGTTGTGGTTTATTGGCAAGTTGTGTCTGACTCTTGCGACCCCATGGGCTGTAGCCTGCCAGGCTCCGCTGTCCATGTGATTCTCCAGGCAAGAATACTGGAGTCAGTTGCCATTTCTTTCCTAACCCAGGAATTGAAGCCTGTCTCCTGCACTGCAGGCAGATTGATTACCAACTGAGCAATGAGGGAAACAAAATACAGGGAAAGGTAACAAGAATGGTGATTTGTTTTGTGTGATACTAATAGCTAACATTAATTGAGTGCCTACTATTTGTCAGACACCATCCTAGGCAGTTTGTGCAAGTAAACTTATAAATCCTCTTTCTGCCCATCAGGAAAGAGACACCACGTAGAGATTAAGCAGCTATGCAGCTAAGGTCTCTTGTCAGGAGCAGACATGACTCTGGCTCAGAGGATGTGTGTGTAAGACAGAAAGAGAGGGAGACAGAAATTCAGTGTAAAGACTGAAAGCTCAGGGTTCTAAGTAATGAACAAGGAACCATCACTGGTATAACCCAGCCTCAGATCTGGGAGTCCTTTTTTTACTGGCAGGTCCTGTTAGCTTCATGTCCATTATTTCAGGTTGATCCTTCCTGTCCCCAGGTTCTCCCAGTTAAAAGGCATTAATTTCATCTTTTGTTCCCTGCATATATCTGTATCAGCACCCATACCCAACTCTTTTTATCTAGTTTCCACAAAATGTACTTTTCTGGTCTTTTGACATCATACCATTTCTTAAAAACATCAGCTAATCCTTCTGAGCTTTATTTAACATGCTTTTCTCAGCTGACTTCATTCTTGTAACCTAGTAACATGTTTAAAGTCTTCCCAGGTGGCGCTAGTGATAAAGAACCTACCTGCCAATAAGAGATATGGGTTTGATCCCTGGGTGAAGAAGACCCCCTGGAGGAGGGCATAGCAATCCACTCCAGTATTCTTGCCTGGAGAATCCTGGGGACAAAGGAGCCTGGCAAACGGGCTACAGGATATGGGGTCACAAAGAATCTGACAGGACTGAATCCTTTTTAAAAGGTGATGCTGTTAAAGTGCTGCATTCAATATGTCAGCAAATTCAGAAAACTCAGAAGTGGCCAAAGGACTAGAAAATTCCAATCCCAAAGAAGGACAATGCCAAAGAATGTTCTAACTACCATACAATTGTGCTCATTTCTTTTTTTTTTTTCAATTGTGCTCATTTCACATGCTACCAGGTAATGCTCAAAATTCTTTCAAGCTACCCTTTAGCAATGAGTGAACCAAGGACTTCCAGAGGTACAAGCTGGATTTAGAAAAGGCAGAGGAATCAGAGATCAAATTGCCAACATTCACTGGATCATCGAAAAAGCAAGGGAATTCCAGAAAAATATCTACTTCTGCTTCATTGACTATGCCAAAGCCTTTAACTGTGTGGATCACAACAAACTATGGACAATTCTGAAAGAAATGGGAATACCAGACCATCTTATCTACCTCCTGAGAAACCTGTATGCAGGCCAACAAGCAACAGTTAGAACTGGATATGGAACAATGAACCAGTTCAAATTGGGAAAGGAATACATCAAGGCTGGATATTGTCACACTGTTTAACTTATACACAGAGTGCATGGGTATGTGCCAAGTCGCTTCAGTCATGTCTGACTTTTTTTAACTCTATGGACTGTAGCCTGCCAGGCTCATCCGTCCATGGGATTCTCCAGGCAAGAAAACTTGAGTGGGTTGCCATGCCCTCCTCCAGGGGGTCTTCCAGACCCAAGGATTAAACTTGTCTCCTGAAACTCCTTCATTGCAGGTGAATTCTTTATCGCTGAGCCACCTGGGAAGCCCTGTATGCAGAGTATGTCATGGACTGGAGGAACCACAAGCTGGGATTAAGACTGCCAGGAGAAATATCAACAACTTCAGATATGCAGACAATACCACCCCTTATACAGAAAGCGAAGAGGAACTAAAGAGCCTCTTGATGAGAGTAAAAGAGGAGAGTGAAAAAGTTGGCTTAAAACTCAATATTCAAAAAACTAAGATCATGGCATCCACTCCCATCAATTCATGGCAAATAAATGGGGAAACAATGGAAACAGTGACAGATTTTATTCTCTTGGGCTCTAATATTACTGCAGATGGTGACTGCAGCCATGGAACTAAAAGACGCTTGCTTCTTGGAAGGAAAGCTATGACAAAGCTAGACAGCATTTTAAAAAGCAGAGACATCACTTCTCCAACAATGTCCCTATAGTCAAAGCTATGGTTTTTCAGTAGTCACGTATGGATGTGAGAATTGGACCATAAAGAAGGCTGAGCACTGAAGAATTGATGCTTACGAATTGTGATGCTGGAGAAGACTCTTGAGTCCCTTGGACTGCAAGGAGATCAAACCAGTCAATCCTAAAGGAAATCAACCCTGAATATTCATTGAAACGACTGATGCTGAAGCTCCAATACTTTGGCCACCTAATGTGAAGAGCGGACCCACTGGGAAATACCCTGATGCTGGGAGACTGAAGGCAAGACTGCAGCAGAGAACAAGATGGTTAGATAGCATCACTGACTCAATGAACGTAGTTTGAGCAAACTCCAGGAGCTACTGAAGGATAGGAAAGCCTGGTGTGTTGCAGCTCACAGGGTCACAAAAAGTCAAACACGACTGAACAACCTATTTAAATGTCTCATTTTAAAAAAATAAACTAAGAACTACAGGGACCCATCCTACATCTTGACTTCTTTTTCTTGCCCTATACAGCCAAGTTTATCACAAAGCACACACTCCCACCATCAGGGCTCTGGCTCCACCATTTATTTGAAACTGGCCTAACTGATAATTATATTGGTTGTAAATTTTTCCTTAACTGACCTCTCCAGAGGCTTTGGTTACTATTGACTCCCCTGTGTTTTTACTGTGCAACAAGGCTAACTTTAATTCAAAATTCTTGGGGTACCTGTTACCATGAGCAACTATCCCCACATATTAAGCCTCACTAATGACTTTACCTTTTGGTGAATAATTGTTAATTTCTTTTCTTAAACTCTGTATTGTATCATTTACCACTACCACACGTGATGCTGCTAAGTCACTTCAGTCGTGTCTGACTCTGTGACCCCATGGACTGTAGCCGGCCAGGCTCCTCTGTCCACAGGATTCTCCAGGCAAGAACACTAGAGTGGGTTGTAGCCTGCCAGGCTCCTCTGTCCACAGGATTCTCTAGGCAAGAACACTAGAGTGGGTTGTAGCCGGCCAGGCTCCTCTGTCCACAGGATTCTCCAGGCAAGAACACTGGAGTGGGTTGTAGCCGGCCAGGCTCCTCTGTCCACAGGATTCTCCAGGCAAGAACACTGGAGTGGGTTGTAGCCGGCCAGGCTCCTCTGTCCACAGGATTCTCCAGGCAAGAACACTGGAGTGGGCTGCCATGCCCTCCTCCAGGGGCTCTTCCTGACCCAGGGACTGAACCCGCATCTCTTACATCTCCTGCACTGGCAGGCAGGTTCTTCACCACTGATGCCACCTGGGAAGCCCCACCACTCGTGACAATAACCCTGATAAATGCCACTATTACCTATTAGGAAACCAAGGCCTTAGAAGAATCTATGGTGAAATAAATGTTTTAGAAAGATTAATATAGCAGTAATAAACAAGACGTAATGAAAATGAGAGAGAAGTAGTTAAGTTTCAGGAGAAATTTAGACTTAAGGCATACGACTGAGAAGGAAGACTGAAAGACATTATAAAGATCAGGCAGATTATGTAATAGCAGGATAGGAATTACAAGAGAAAAAAGGACTCAGTTTCTAGCTGGACTGTAAACCAAGGACAATAGCAGGAAAGTCAGGAAGAAATGGTTTTGCTAAGTATTATTACTAATGTGCCTTACAGTGTGTTACTAATAATATGTCTTAGGTATTATGAAGTGTTATATATAACACCAAAGAAACCTAACAGAGGAGGTTAGATATGCCTCAGGTAAAATCTAGAAGCTTCTTCAAAGAGCTAAGAAAACAGATATTTTTAATTCCATTTAGGTTTATGTAAAAGTCTTAACTTCGGATGTTCTTGACGAAACAAAAATGCATGAAACTTTTGAATAACACAGACTGAATGACTCAATGAAGTACACTGACTATACAAGACAGAATTTAAAGTGGATAAGTCAGGGTCAGCTTTATGTTTGAACAGATAGAAACAAAAGTCACAAAATCCTATTACTTAAAATATTTTAATTTCTAAAAAAGTTTAAACCATATTAAAATTTAAATAACTGTACAGTACTTGATAATACATTCAATAAACTGAAAAGTAAAACAAACCAATTAAATCAGTTTACTTTCCACGTTTATGTACACTCTTCTGCTCCCCCAGGAGGATATAAAAATCGACAGCGAAAATGGAAAATTTAAATACAGCGTACGATATAAGGCCAAAAGAATTTCTAAAACTAAACTTCATCTAGTGATACCCTATCACTACCAGTATGCGTACACAAGACAAATTCAATTTGATTAAATCCACAATTAACAGATGTTTTCATTTCATTCATTTGAATAAAATAGCAACCACTGTTTTATTCAATAAACCATTATCAGTGGCAGAAGAAATGATCTGCCGAGTTGTGCAAAACAATAACAGATATCTTCTGAAAGGATGTGAGCTTTTCAAACTCAGTGCTTTTTCATTTGTGTCATAATTTTCAAAATAATAAACAGTTCCAGTTAATGTCTTAGCAGTCCACTTCACTATGAGAGTGTATCCTCCATGAATTCATCATATAACCACTTACAGGTATCATCTTTCGAACATTCTATGGTTTCAAAAAGGCGCTGAAAGTCTTCAGGGTACATATCTATTACTCTCACATCTTTATGTTTTTTTATTTGCTTCAGTATATGCACTGCATCAATTGGACTCAATGAACTGCAAAATAAATACAAAATAAATCTACTTAATTCTTTTTTATAACAAAACAGGCAGTGAATGCTGTAGAGGTGGTTTCTAAGCCCAATTTTAAATGTCTAACAATATATGTAAATTAATCATATTCAGTTTAAGAGCCTGCATATTATAAATAGCTTTAACTATGTCTATTCCTAAAGTTTCATGGCTTGCCTGCAATGCAAAGAGCAGATTTAGGCTTTAATGTGTTCTAATTGATCTTAAGCAAAACACTAGTTTAACATTTGTCCTTCAAAAAAATTATTCTGCCTACCTGTTTCACCTTTTAACTCTCTTTGCAAAAAAATTATTAACTCCATTTAGGCTTATGTAGAAGTTCAATAAGTATACAAACAGCAGAAACAACTGTTTTCAAAGAGGAAATAATTTTTCACATTTTTGTGTAAATATTACTGTGAATAAATTCAAAGCAGATAATAAACCTATAATTTATAATTATAAATAAATAAGCACTGTCTTATTCTATATTGGTCTATCGAGAAACCACCAGTGAGCCTCTGACAATAACAAGTAAAGAACTGTAGTAAAATGTTTTGGTGGAAAATATTTCTGATACTTTTCTGACTGTGAATGGAATCCTGGTCACAGGCATAAACATCCTTGCAATTCATAGGATCTCCAAAGCTTTAGATAGAAATACAGAGTCTGACCCACATAGGAGGACTAGGGAGGTATAATGATTTGTGCCTACTTTGGTTAGGAAACAGAACCAAGGACAGGCAATGACAAGAGGCAGATGGTGGGTATGCCACCACTAATGCCAGTGGCAAGGAGCCAGTTCTTCAAGTAGATTAATTGCGACAAAGATAAAACAAATTTTAAGCATCCCTAGCTGTTTTTTCAAAGAAGGGGGAAAAAAATACTAAGCTCAGGAGAGCTTAATTGGAAAATTATGTGGAAAATATATTTTCCTCAATATATGTACCAGCAAGAAGGAAGTATTTTGAAGCAATATTAATAGATGAGTGAAAACATGGTCCCTCACTGTTAATGAAGCCGTAAAAGATATAAAAAAAACAAAGCTCTTAACATGAAAGCACAATTCTCACATTAAGTTGCTACTTTTGTATCTGCTTGTGTAATTCTTACTTACGGTAAGTGGTCTATTAGCTTGGCATTGCGTTTCATAAAACATTGCCTTAACATGTGAAAAAATACATCATAGTTAAAAGGTGTTAAGGTTCCTGAAAATAAATTTCTATGAGGAGTCAATTGAATAAAACACAGGTTTTGTTCTAATGATTCCTGCAGAGAAAGGAAAATAAAACGTATTAGTCCTAAAATACTGCCCGGGAAAGACACTGTTCACTGACGCATTCAGTTTACCTTTCGGCAGAGAGACTCATTATAGACCCTGAGCTATAGCTTCTCTATAGCTTCTTTTTGGATGTGCCAATAAAGCAAGGCCCCAGTTGCTCTTAACCTGGGCTATTCTCCTGGCGGATGAGACACCGCCCCTCTACAGGACAAAAGGTTTGCTATAAAAGGGATGGACGCCCCCAGCTGTGTTCCTCAGATGCAAGGCAAACCCACCGCATGCACACCACTCAACCAAACAATTTCACATTTTTCCAAGGGACACAGGGGTATGTGTCTCTGGCCAGCACTATGAAAGAGTGACAGCTCATTAACTTCTAAGCAGGGGAAATGAGATCCTAAATGTGATGCTAGTACATACTGAGTCTCTTCTGTATTTGAGGCATGACAGCAAATACTAAACATAAAAAAATTATTGCCTTATAATTTTTATTTGGTTTAAAAAAATATAGGATTAGCAAGCATGACCTGCCTGTTTTTGTATACTACGGAACTACAAATGGTTTTTACATATATAAAGGATTCTTAGAAAACAAACAATAACAACAAACCCACAAAGGATAGACTATATGTGGCCCGCAGAGTAAAATATTTACTCTCTTTTACACAAAAGGTTTGCCAACCTGCTCTAGTATATAGTGTTATACAGATTAAAATAAAACTGTATATGACTTGATGTAACGTTAAGCTGTTTCTCCTCCCTAAAATTAATTCCTCAGAGCAGAGGGAGCTTTATGTTTGAGTTCTTAAAAAATCTCACATATTAGCTAGTAATCTCTTATTTAGGCTGCCCAGGTGGCTCAGTGGTAAAGAATCCACCTGTCAAGCAGGAGACATGGGTTTGATCCCTTGGTCTGGAAAATCCCCCAGAGAAGGAAATGGCAGCCTACTCCAGTATTCTTGCCTGGGAAATCCCATGGACAGAGGAGCCTGGTGGGCTACAGCCCATGGAGTCGCAAAAGAGTCAGACATGACTTAGCAACTAAACAACAATCCCTTTCTTTATAAAAATAAATGTATACATACACATATGTAAACAAAAATACTATCTGTGGAAGACACGATGGCCAAAAAAGAAAATTTCAATCAGCTTTGGTTTCTACTTTTGAATTCTTGTAGCTGAATAAGTTAATAAAAAAGCAAGGCAGTAAAATTTTAAAATATTCAGCAATTATTAACTAGGGAGGGGAAAACCCTACAATTGAAAACGTTGTTAACAAGTTTTTGAAGGTGACTTTAAAGCACCTTGTATATAGATCTGGAGTTACAGCTATTGGTTCATTCGATAAATAAGGAAGAAAAAAAACTTCCCTGATGTCAACAAAGAACTATTTGTATTTAATAGCTTAGGAAAAAATTTCCAGGAACAACACAAAAACATGGCTTCAAAAAAGTGGAAACCTCAAACCAAGTGGATAATGAAGATCATGTGCTTTAGAAAATCTGTTAAATATCTAAAAGAGCTTCTTAACAATTATGAACACACCAACATCTAAGACACACGTGAAATATCTGAATAAAAATTTCTCATGAAATGTAACATTTGGTTATTTCATCTTCATCTCTAAAAGTTTAAACAATTATATTAGCCAAAAAAATATTTTACCTTTTGACACTCTCACTGAGAAAATGAGAAAGTGTATTAAATGTAGGGGAGTTACTCATTTTCAGGTCATATGGATAAATACCTAGTGGTGCCAAGCCAAAATGCACTCCTATTTTGTGAGGCTACATAAATTATGTTTATAGACAGGGAAATACAACTAAAATTACAATGATCGCTGGTTACTCTGAAATCAGGATTATTTTTTTTTTCCATTTATTTTTATTAGTTGGAGGCTAATTACTTTACATCATTGCAGTAGTTTTTGTCAAACATTGAAGGATTATTTAAAAATTGAAAATTTTCCTTTTTTCCTTTAGTGGCAAGAGTGAGAAAAAAAAAAAGTAGGAAGTGATTGGGAATGTCAGACTGAGCTAATACACTGAGATTAGGGCATCATTAGCATTTTAATCCCCAAGTGGAACTTCTGAATTGAGCCCAAAAATTGTTATAAGTAGCTCTATATAATCTAAATGGAAAAATCACCTTATAATATCATCACTTTGGTTTGTAATAAAGGGAAAAAATAAAATCTTGTTTTTAGTTTATCAAATTAGATGAATATTAAAATAACCATATTTTCCAAATTTGAGATGTATCTTCAATTCAAAAATTAAAAAGAGAAGACAGAATCTGGGTTTAAGCCTATTATTATGCTGGCATTCACTGTATAAATAGCTGAAAAATACAACTCTTTTCCAAAATAATTTGAATATATATTAAAAGCAATAAGATATATTTTTTATAAAGTTCTAGATATTCTAAAATTAAAAATTTCAGTAAATACAGAATACCAGGTAATGCAAAAGAAAACAAAGAATGTTACATTTAGAGGAAGAAAGGAAAAGGTATTCATTCATTCTTACCCTATGCCTTTGCCTTTCCAGCTGTCCCTTGATGGTATACATATCAAATGATGAGGAAGGCTCCTTAAGGGAAGATAAGTTAAAAAAAAAAAATTTCTTTCATTTCTTTTCGGACAAAGTGCCACACATCATTACTGCCTTAAAAAATGGCTTGCCTATACAGCAGAATGAATTAAAGCCAAGTCTAACTGAATTTAAGAAAAACATGTGACAGTTAAATCATACACATTTTTCTTCTCTGTTTTTTTTAGACAAAAGGAGGGTCAAAGGTCTATCCCAATACTGGTAACTCTATTACTTGCTTAGATAAATACGGCTGCCCTTAATACAATTATGTAAATATATTCTTAAGTTAGCAAGCACTTCTCTATTATAGGCACAATCAGTTTAGGGGCCATCAGATCAATACTGAGGATGTTTCTGTCCTACTTTAGTGGAAAAGTCACTGATATGAATATGCTGGGACATGTAAGGAGACAAACTAAGTAAATTTTTAAAAGAATCATTACTTCTTTTTATCTAACTTTGAGACAAACAATTGTGTATGTGAAGCAATTTTAAAAGATGACCAACTGAAAAATTGTGTGTGTGTGATATGTATGTGTGTATGTATATATATACACAAGAAAGTACTTAATATGTGTACATACATTAAACACATATTTGGCTTCCCTGGTGGCTCAGATGGTAGAGAATCAGTCTGCAATGCAGGAGACCTGGGTTCAATCCCTATGTCAGAAAAATCCCCTGGAGGAAATGGCAACCCACTCCAGTATTCTTGCCTGGAGAATTCCATCGACAGAAGAGCCTGGCAGGCTTCATGGGGTTGCAAAGAGTTGGACATAACTGAGCAACTTTCACTTTCATACACACACACACACACACACACACACACACACACACACACACTTAATTCCAAAAGAACAGCATTTGACACAGACTTAAAGGACTAAGACATAATAGCGGGTGTAAGGTTTAAAAGGCTACTGTGAAAAATGATAATTTATTACTAATTGCAGTTACTACTGACATAGAATGAAAAATCCAATTGTTGCCCCTCTGTGAAATTCCCAGCAGTTTCTCGAATGTCACGAAGAGGAGGAAGGCAGAGCAACAGCAGGAGCAGCAGGCAGTCACAGCATACTCCCACACCTGGTCTATCCACAGTAGTTGAGGGCCCTGCAGTGGGCACAGTTGACCTCACTTCTATATACCAAACCCACAGGAGAGGAAAACCTACAAGGCCTTGGGAACCGGGTTTAACAATGGACCCTCCAGTAGCAGACATATTAATGTAATGGAAAACTGTTTAAAATGCTGGGTCTGGAACTACTTGTCCTTTCTGGAGGTTAATAAATGCAAAAGTCAACATGGGGCTTTTGAAAATAAATACTGCAAAAAAATAAAACTATCCTGAAAGGTGAAGTCCTCTGAGGGCCTCTATGAAGAAACTAAACAAAAGTCCAGGAGGAGAGAAGAGCTGAGATGCAAAGCCAACAGAATGAGATCAGTGGGGTTAAGAGAGGATTTTAGGGAACCAAGAACTACAGCACCAAGATTGCATTATGTGGTATGGGCAGAAAGCACGGTCAGTGCCATGAAGGTCAAAAGCGAAAAAAATTTCTAGGAATACAGAAAAAGGATGACAGCATGATAGAAATAAGACAAGGCACGAGAGAGCCAAACTAAGAACCTGGTATGTTTTGGAGGGAAAAACCAAAATCGGAACAAAAGCTAAAATCAAATGAGATTACATTCTAATGACCAAGTATGTACGGAAGATCTTAAGGTGATCCTGGACAAAAGCAATGAAGAGACTACATGGAGAAATACTGTACACGACTTTAAAATTAAACAAATATATCTTTGGAAGAACAAGGGTTCATAAAATATTCACAAACATATTCCTTCTAACAATAGTCTGATGGATAATCTACCATAATAAAAAACAGAATGGGCAAATTATGCTATGAAGGAAATGGTATTTATCATTTTTTCCTTATATTTTAGGCCTCTATTAAAAATGGCAGACACACACACACACACACACAAAATGGTAGCCACAAGTCATATGTAGCTCCTGAACACATAAAATGTGTCCAGTCTGAATTGGTTTTAAGTGTAAAATATACACTGGATTTTTAGTACACAAAGAAAAATGTAAATTATACAATAACCTTTTTTTACTTTTCATAATGATACTGTTTAAAAATGTAAAATTACATATGTGGTTTGTATTATGTCTCTATTTGATAGCTCTGATCTTGCCTAAGGAAATAAACTAAAAAGGAGAATACTCTATAATGAGATATTAAATAGCCATTAAAAACAAGAAAAATGTTTAGTTAGAAGGGAAAAAATTTTTGTAATTAACTATTAGCTATCAAATTTTAAAAAAGGTAAAATCTCCACTGTAAAAGAATAAAAACTTTTTACAATGAAATACATATTTGTGACACAAAACATCACCACAGTGCTCTATTATCTTAAATACTTGGGAAAAAAGAAATTTAATTTTTCTTCATTTACTGCTTATGGAAATGCAGCCTCTTTGAAAAACAATGAAGCTCTTTGTTGAAATTTAGAAGGATTTTACTCACCGTACATAGTACCTTAATTCCACAAGCTATTTGACCGAGCACACTTAATGACTGATACAAGCCTGGAGTTTGGGGATTTGCCGTTAGTTTCTAGTAAAAGGAAAATACACCAAAATCAACTGTCAGATCTTAATAGTATCTAGAAAGGGTAATAGTAATATCTTAATAGTGTCTAGAAATGAAAGAAAATGAGAATTAAATGCAAAATCTTGACCATTTCAAGTAAAAGTCTCCTTAAACTTTCATACTGAAATATATCATGATGTACATTTAACATGTGAGCCTGATGGGCTACATATGGACTGAATGTAGTGCACCAGGCTCCACTGCACATGCAATTATCCTGGCAAGAACACGGAATGGGCTGACATTTCCTACTCCAGGGGATGTTCCTGGCCCAGGGATTGAATTCGCGTCTCCTGTGGCTCTTGCATTAGTAGGTGAATTCTCTACCACTGAGCCGTCTGGGAAGTTCGTCTCTTTCCAGGGACAGTCACCATTTACTTACTATTTGCATTTGGGTGAGCAAATCATGTTTTCCTATCTGGCTCCTGGTCCCCCATAACCCCCATCCCAATCTGTAGCTCTTAAACAAATAAGCATTTCCAGTTATCTTGGATTAAAACATGAATAACATGAAGCATTCTGAGCAGCAAAGAAACATAACTTTCAAGGACTATAGGAGGCCCTATTTCAGAGAATAAAAAGTCTAGAACTGTATGTTCACTACAGCATCATTCACAACAGCCAAGAAAGAAATATAATCTAAGTGCCCACTGATAGTTCCATAGGTAAAGAAGATGAATAAAGATGGATATGTTCTTTAAAAATATGTATGTATATATAGACATATATACATATTACACACAGACACACAAAATATAACTCAGCATTAAAAGAGAATGAACAATCTCCTGTCATTTTTGACAACAAAGGATGGATCTACAGAGTATTAAGCTATGTCAAACAAGTCAGACAGAGAAAGACAAATACTGTATAATTTTATTCACATGCAGAATCTAAAAAACAAATAACAAACATAAAACAGAAACAGAATTACAGATAGAACGGAAGGCTGCCAGAGGTGAGGGGGTGTAGGAATAAATGAAATAGGTAGAAGAAATTAGCAGGCACACACTCTCAGTTACAATATAAATGAATCAGAGGGATGAAAGGTACAGTCTGGGAAATATAGTCAATAATAATACATCTCGGTGTGATGACAGATGCTAGCTAGATTTACCATGGTGATCATTTTCTAATACATAGACATTTTAAATCACCATGTTATATACCAGGAACTAATGTAGTGTTTAGATCAATTATACTTCAAGAAACAAATTAATACACCCTAAGAGTTCTCTTTGCAAGTATTTTTTTTAAAGTTTCTATCTGCATGAGATGATGGATTCTTACCAAACTTATTATGACAATCATTTCATTATGTATGTAAGTCAAAACCTTTATTTTGGGGAGACTCCAAATCACTGCAGATGGTGATTGCAGCTATGAAATTAAAAGATGCTTACTCCTTGGAAGGAAAGTTATGACCAACCTAGACAGCATATTAAAAAGCAAAGACATTACTTTGCCAACAAAGGTCCGTCTGGTCAAGGCTATGGTTTTTCCAATGGTCATGTATGGATGTGAGAGTTGGAACTGTGAAGAAAGCTGAGTGCTGAAGAATTGATGCTTTTGAACAGTGGTGTTGGAGAGGACTCTTGAGAGTCCCTTGGACTGCACAGAGATCCAACCAGTCCATCCTAAAGGAGATCAGTCCTAGGTGTTCACTGGAAGGACTGATGCTGAAGCTGAAACTCCAGTACTTTGGCCACCTCATGGGAAGAGTTGACTCATTGGAAAAGACCCTGATGCTGGGAGGGATTGGGGGCAGGAGGAGAAGGGGAAGACAGAGGATGAGATGGCTGGATGGCATCACTGACTTGATGGACATGAGTTTGAGTAAACTCTGGGAGTTGGTGATGGACAGGGAGGTCTGGTGTGCTGGGAATCATGGGGTTGCAAAGAGTCGGACATGACTGAGCGACTGAATTGATAAGTGCAAACATTATACTATATACTTTAAACTTATACAGTGCTACATGTCAATTATATCCATTGATAAAAATGAATAAATGAAAGATGGTGGGGTGGTGTAAATATACTACAGTTATTATTCAGCCTTAACAAAGAATGACATTCTGACACATGCTACAATTTGGATGAACCCTAAAAAGACAGTACGGTAAGTAAAATAAACCAGGCACAAAGTGGAATACTGTACGATTCAATTTACATGAGGAACACAGACTAGTCAAATTCACAGAGGCAGAAAATAAAACAATGGTTACTAGGGGTCCAGGAGATGGGGGAAGGGGAATGAGTTGTGTAGTGGGCACACAGTTTTAGAATGGAATGATGAAAAAGTTCTGTGAAGAGATGGATGCTAGTAATAGCTGTACCACACATGAATGTACTTACTGCCACGCAACTGTACACTTAAAAAGAGTTACAATGGTAAACTTTAGTTATGAATATTTTATCACACAAAAAACCTTTTAAAAAATAAAGGAGTGCTCTACAGAAATTTAAAACAACCTTGGTACTCTCAAATGTCATGAGACCAAATTAAAATCACGCAGATTAAGACTAATCTGATAAAAATCACAGCACTCTTTCAAAACAAAAAACTAATCAGGTACTTGTAACAACCTACCCGGCATTCCTTTTCAGAGATAAACAAATTTAGTTCTGCTCGTCCAAATTTATATACAGAAGAACAGGAATACAGGTCATGTAAAATTTTCCAAAGTGTGTTTCTCTCAGTTTTAACTGGTAAGATCCCAACTACTTTTAAAGGGAAACCTGTTAAGAACACAAGCAAAAGCATTTAAATAAATTCTTAACATTTTTTTCCTATGTGTATACTTTACTGATTCAAATTAGGTTAACAAACTATATTATTTTAAAGTTACTTCAGTGATAACTAAGCCTTAGCACCATTTCGTGATCTAGAACTTAGCCGCTACAAAACTGCTTTGACTGAATCTAGGTGAGGGAAAGCCATAATCAATTTAAGAGCAACTGCCCATAAACTGTACTATGTAAATATTTACACAAATCTCAACAAACCTGGTATATGGCTAAAGAAAGCTGACAAACTATAAGATACTTCTTTACTGAAAGACAAAAATCACCTTTTTTCCAAGGATGTGCTTTCATTCCCAAATATTGAAAAAGCATATCTGAAGTCATAACGGGCGGTGTCACTATGCCATGACTTCTAGGGTCCAGTTTAAAGAAGTCACAATAGATCACTTCTAGTCTTCCATTCACACTGTTTCCTAAGGACTAGAAAGAGACAGAAATTGTTTAGAAATTTTAGTGTTTAAAAATAGCAAGATGCTTTATAACATAACAATTAAAATATTAAAGTGAAAGATTCAAGAGAGTATTTCTAGATAGATCAAGAGAGTATTCCTTTTTTTCCCCAGAACAATTCAGTCAGTCCTTCACCAAACTTGGCTCATTCTGTAGGGCACTCACTAATTTCCTGTTAATTTTTCCTTTATTTTTCCTAAAGTCACAGCCAGCAACAGAAGGAAAGCTCCTTGCCTGCCAGAAGACATAAAATACACCTCAATCTTTCTACTGCCCATATGTTTTTCACCTGGCAGTGCTTGAGAACTTACTAGTGAAAGGAAGTATTAGTTACAGACTCTACAAACTTAATTCGAAGTTACTAAAAATCCAACAGAAGAAAGCAAGGTTTTGATGTGCACACTGAGGTTCTCATGCACAGAAAATTCTACAGATATTTATCAAGGTTTCAGTGAAATCTGCAATTTAAAGTTATGAGTTAAAAAAAAAACTAAGCTATCTTAACTGTTTGAATTCAACCTATAAATATGACTCTATTTCTAAATTTAGTATTTAATGATTTCTTTCAAGAGGACCCTTAAAAAAAAACTAGTGATAGAGAAAGGAACAGAGTTGGGAATGGAAACAATGTATTTTTGGTCATAATTTTGACACACCTATTACGTGACTTAAGTGGAGATGCAGGTAGGAAGTTGTAGACCTGGATACTGAAGTACAGGCTGAAGACATAAATGAGCTGAAATAAGACAGTTTACCACAAAAGCCTTAGGAAGTGGGCCTTTGGAAGCACGACTATGAACAAACCAAGTGGAGGTGATGTAATTCCAGCTGAGCTATTTCAAATCCTACAAGATGATGCTGTTAAAAGTGCTGCACTCAATATGCCAACAAATTTGGAAAACTCAGCAGTGGCGACAGGACTGGAAAAGGTCAGTTTTCATTCCAATACCAAAGAAGGGCAACGCCAAAGAATGTTCAAACTACCATACAATTGCACTCATTTCACATATTAGCAAGATAATGCTCAAAATCCTTCAATCAAGGCTTCAACAGTACGTGAAACGAGAATTTCCAGACATTCAAGCTGGATTTAGAAAAGGCAGAGGAACCAGAGATCAAACTGCCAGGATTCGTTGAATCATAGAAAAGGTAAGGATATTCCAGAAAAACATCTACTTCTGCTTCATTGACTACACTAAACCCTTTGACTGTGTGGATCACAACAAAATGTGGAAAATTCTTAAAGAGATGGGGCTACCAGACCACCTGGCCTGCCTCTTGAGAAATCTATATGCAGGTCAGAAAGCAACAGTTAGAAGCAGACATGGAACAACAGACTGTTTCCAAATCGGGAAAGGAGTACTTCAAGGCTGTATATTGACACCCTGCTTATTTAACTTCAATGCAGAGTGTATCAAGCAAAACGCTGGTATGGATGAAGTGCAAGCTGGAATCAAGATTGCTGGGAGAAATATTAATAACCTCAGATATGCAGATGATACCACCCTTACAGCAGATAGTCAAGAGGAACTGAAGAGCCTCTTGATGAAAGTGAGAGAGGAGAGTGCATTCAATCCCATCACTTCATGGCCAAGAGATGGGGAAACAATGGAAACAGTGGCAGACTTTATTTTCTTGGGCTCCAAAATCACTGTGGATTATGACTGCAACCATAAAAATAAAAGACAACTGCTCCTTAGAAGAAAAGCTATTACCAACCTAGACAGCATATTAAAAAGCAGAGACATCACTTTGCTGACAAAATCCATCTAGTCAAAGCTATCGTTTTTGCTGTAGTCATGTACGGATATGAGAATTGGCCTATAAAGAAGGCTAAGCACTGAAGAATTGATGCTTTCGAAGTGCAGTACTGGAGAACACTCTTGAGAGTCCCTTGGACTGCAAGGAGATCAAACCAGTGAATCCTAAACAAAATCAACCCTGAATACTCATTGGAATGACTGATGTTGAAGCTGAAGCTGCAATACTTTGGCCACCTATTGTGAAGAGCCAACTCAATGGAAAAGACCCTGATGCTGGGAAAGACTGAGGGAAGGAGGAGAAGCAGGAGACAGAGGATGAGATGGTTGGATGACACCACTGACTCAATGGACAACAGTTTGATCAAACTCTGGGAGATAGTGAAGGACAAAGAAGCCTGGCGAGTTGCAGTCCATGGAGTCGCAAAGAGTTGAACACAACTGAGCGACTGAACAACCACCACAAAAGATGATGTCTCTTCTACTGAATACACACAGCTATTTCTGCAACAATAGTCTTCAAAATTCAAATGAGATATAACTCGATCTATTAGGGAAAAAAACCACAACTATAGTTGATTTACAAAAGTTGTGACAATTTATCATTATAGAACACAACTTGCAACATGTGTATCTCTAGCACATCCAAATCAGAAAACAAACTTACTGTTTGAAACACTGTTAATGTGGAATCTGAGGAATTTTATCAGGGAAGTAGACTAAGGGAGAGAAGGATTTTAAACTTAGGTAAACATGCGGAGTCAAGCATTAATCTTGAAAATCCTTTTAGTTTTTAATACAACTGAGAGCCTTTAGATGGCTGGAAGCACTGCTTGCTAAGAGCACCACTTAAGGCCCTGATTTAGGGTTGCAAAGGTTCTATTTAATTACTTCTCTTTTATTCTGGCACATATATATGATTTCACACAAAACTTTAAATGGCTCTTCACTTTCAGTTCAGTTCAGTTCAGTGGCTCAGTCGTGTCCAACTCTTTGCAACCCCTTGGACTGTAGCACACCAGGGCTCTCTGTCTATCACCAACTCACAGAGTTTACTCAAACTGATGTCCATTGAGTCAGTGATGCCATCCAACCATCTCATCCTCTCTTTCCCTCCTCCTCCTGCCTTCAATCTTTCCCAGCATCAGGGTCTTTTCTAGTGAGTCAGTTCTTCAAATCAGGTGGCCAAAATTGAAGTTTCAGCTTCAGCATCGGTCCTTCCAATGAATACTCAGGACTGACTTCCTTTAGGATGGACTAGTTGGATCTCCTTGCAGTCCAAGGGACTCTCAAGAGTCTTCTCCAACACATAATTCAAGAGCATCAATTCTTTGGCGCTCAGCATTTTTTATAGCCAAACTCTCAAATCCACACATGACTACTGGAAAAACCATAGCTTTGACAAGGCGGACCTTTGTTGGCAAATTAATGGCTTTGCTTTTTAAGATGCTGTCTAGGTTGGTCATAACTTTTCTTCCAAGGAGCAAGCATCTTTTAATTTCTTGGCTGCAGTCACCATCTGCTGTGATTTTGGAGCTCAAAAAGAAAAAGTCTGTCACGGTTTCCCCATCTATTTCCCATGAAGTGATGGGACCAGATGCCATGATCTTAGTTTTCTGAATGTTGAGTTTTAAGCCAACTTTTTCACTCTCGTCTTTCACTTTCATCAAGGGGCTCTTTAATTCTTCATTTTCTGCCATAAAGGTGGTGTCATCTGCATATCTGAGGTTACTGATATTTCTCCCAGCAAACTTGATTCCAGCTTGTGCTTCATCCAGCCCAGCGTTTCTCATGATGTATTCTGCATATAAGTTAAATAAGCAGGGTGACACTATACAGCCCTGACGTACTTCTTTCCCAATTTGGAATCAGTCTGTTGTTCTATGTCCAGTTCTAACTGATGCTTCCTGACCTGCATACAGACTTCCAAAGAGGCAGGTCAGGTGGTCTGGAATTCCTAACTCTAAGAATTTTCCACAGTTTGTTGTGATCCACACAGTCAAAGGCTTTGGCATAGTCAATAAAGCAGATGTTTTTCTGCAACTCTCTTGCCTTTCTGATGATCCAACGGATACTGGCAATTTGAACTCTGGTTCCTCTGGCTTTTCTAAATCCAGTTTGAACATCTGGAAGTTCACGGTTCATGTATTGTTGAAGCCTGGCTTGGAGAATTTTGAGCATTACTTTACTAGTGTGTGAGATGAGTGCATTTGTGTGGTAGTTTGAGCATTCTTTGGCATTGCCTTTCTTTGGGGTTGGGATGAAAATGGATCTTTTCCAGTCCTATGGCCACTGCTGAGTTTTCTAAATTTGCTGGCATACTGAGTACAGCACTTTCACAACATCATCTTTTAGGATTTGAAACAGCTCAACTGGAACTCCATCACCTCCACTAGCTTTGTTCATAGTGATGCTTCGTAAGGCCCACTTGACTTCACATTCCACGATGTCTGGCTCTAGATGAGTGATCACACCATTGTGGTTATCTGGGTCATGAAGATCTTTTTTGTATAGTTCTGTGCACTCTTGCCACCTCTTCTTAATATCTTCTGCTTCTGTTAGGTCTGTACCATTTCTGTCCTTTAATGTCCCCATCTTAAATGAAATGTTCCCTTGGTATCTCTAATTTTCTTGAAGAGATCTCTAGTCTTTCCCATTCTATTATTTCCCTCTATTTCTTTGCATTGATCATTTAGGAAGACTTTCTTATCTCTTCTTGCTATTCTTTGGAACTCTGCATTCAAATAGGTATATCTTTCCTTTTCTCCTTTGCCTTCGCTTTTCTTCTTCTCACAGCTATTTGTAAGGCCTCCTGAGACAACCATTTTGCTTTTTTACATTTATTTTTCTTGGGGATGGTCTTGATCACTGCCTCCTGTAGAATGTCACAAACCTCCATCCATAGTTCTTCAGGCACTCTATCAGATCTAATCCCTTGAATCTATTTGTCACTTCCTCTGTATAGTCGTAAGGGATCTGATTTAGGCCATATCTGAATGGTCTAGTGATTTTCCTTAGTTTCTTCAATTAAGTCTGAATTTGGCAATAAGGAGCTCATGATCTGAGCCACAGTCAGCTCCTGGTTTTCTTTTTGCTGACTGTATGGAGCCTCTCCATTTTTGGCTGCACTTTATAACGAGTTAAAGGCTGAGTTCAAGTTATTGCTAAGAGGAGGTGCAAATGAAGAGTTAAGACATTTAAATTTTGTGCTTATATTAACAGTTTCAGAAACATTTTCAACAGTAGTCTTACATTCTCTCAAGAAATACTGTGTGTGAGGAATTCTCCAGACCCTAATTATCCTTTTTTCATTGATTCAATTATTTTGAGACTGTTTCTTTGATCTTATAGAAAATCAACCACTGTGTTACAGGATAACAAACTGTAAACAGGACATATTAATGATATCTATAGTTCACTTCACTTCAGTCATTCAAAAGGGTATATCTTTCCTTTTCTCCTTTGCCTTTACCTTCTCTTCTTTTCTCAGCTATTTGTAAGGCCTTCTCAGACAGCCATTTTGCCTTTTTGCATTTCTTTTTCTTGGGGATGGTCTTGATCACTGTCTCCTATTCAATGTCATGCCTCCATAGTTCTTCAGGCACTCTATCAGATCTAATCCCTTTAATCTGTCACTCCCACTGTATAATCATAAGGGATTTGATTTAGTTCATACCTGTATGATCTAGTGATTTCACCTGCTTTCTTCAACTTAAGTTTGAATTTTGCAATAAGGAGTTCATTGTCTGAGCCACAGTCAGCTCCTGGTCTTGTTCTTGCTGACTATATAGAGCTTCCCCATCTTTGGCTGCAAAGAATATAATCAATCTGATTTCAGTATTGACCACCTGGTGGTGTCCATGTGCAGAGACTTCTCTTGTGTTGTTGGAAGAGGGTGTTTGCTATGACCAGTGCCTTCTCTTGGCAAAACTCTGAACATGTAGGTTAATCTTCAAAAGTAGGCACCCCTCTAAGTACCAAAATAAAAGTTATCTTGTTTTTAATTTCCAGGTTGAAATTACAGATGGCTTTGTTTACTAAATCACACTCAAGATCTTGAATCTCTGAACAATTTTATGTGTTCTTTTTCTTGTCATGTTTTTGGAATTTCAGCAGATTTAACATCAATTAAATAACCTTATTATAATCTTGATTTTTTTCAGTTGTAGAAAAACAGCCATCAAATGTGTTGTATGGTTTTATTTTCCTGAATTGAATCAAATGATTTATAAAAGAAGGAAGGAAAGGAAAGAAAGAAAGAAAAAGAGGCTGTCAATGAGGCCAGAAATTTCCACTTTACCGTTTACTGAACTTGTCAGCCATACATGAAGCCGAATTCACTAAAAAATCCATTTGGATAATACCTTTACTCCATGCAGTTTTATAAGAATACATCAAACTTCTCTTGCCTCTCAGTCCTTAAGTCCAGGATTAGCATAGTCCTAGCAACTAGATTCTAAGCTCCCTTCCAAGCCCGTTCTAGGAAAGAAGAGGCACAGGATAGTCCACTAGTGTTGAGGAAACAAGCCTAGAGACACCAGTTATACATTTTATTCAAAGTCACCCATGTGTAGCAGAGCTGAAATTAGCAAACAAAAGTTTGAATCCTATCTTTCAGTCATTCAGCAATCACTGATACCTACTTTGTTCTATCCATTGAGGGTAAGGAGATATTCATGGCATAGCCTGTAAGAGTGATTTTTTAAAAATAATCTGTGTGCTTAATTTTACTTCCCTAAAACACTGGAATGTAGCTGACTGAACAATAAATTATTTTTAAAAACAAAAATATACCTTCAATTCTGGAATAAAACTTTTGTCACTTTCAAGGGCAACCACTCTGGCACCACTTTCAAGCAATGCTCGGGTCAGTATTCCAGGACCTAGCACATTAAAAGAAAGAAAAGTTTATTTGCAAAAGAAACACCATAATCTTTTTCAATTCAAAGAAATTAGATGTTTTACCTGTATGATCTAATTTTAATTCTCACAACATCCCCAAAGTAGATATTATACTCCTTATTTACACATAAGGAAACCGGGAATTAGATAGTCACTTTACTCCAACTTCACAACCAGTACGTGGTGCTACATGGCTCCGAAAGCATTCCATGAAAGAGTGAAAAACTCGCGCTCTTAATTACAATGTTCCACTACTTCTCAAGAAAAAACAAACAAAAAAGGGTGCCTCTAGCTTACCACTTACTTATGGACTATCCGAATATTTTAATAGCAAAGATATTGCGAAACCTAAACAGAACTTGACTGCTCATGATAGGAAATGGTGCTTTAAAATTATTTTTCAGTAAGTCTATAAATCTTGCGTTCCCAGCATCCTGCTACGGTCTATGGAAAATGCACTAAAGAGTAAGATGAAAAGTTCTTTTGGGAAGATAGTGAAATCTAAGAGCATGTCTTATCAAAATATTTTGTGAACTGCAAACTGATACAGAAATATGTGAAGTCACGATTAACACAGGCCATAAAAGTTCCTTAAACGAAGAGGTCATATTTCTGACAGTACGCAGACGTGAAAATGCAGTCCGAGAGGGACTCACCTGGATTGCACTCCAGGATTAGCTGGCCAGCTTTTCGTTTTCCCCGCAGCATGCGCACCATGGTCTCAGCCAATCTCGGACTGGTTACGTACCGCTTGGTCTCGGAGCGGGACTTGTACAGGCGCGAGGACGCTTTTACAAATCCCACATCGGACTCCAGTTGAGGATGGAAATCATACAAGCCACGACAGTTCTCTGCCGGGACGTCCTTCCACCTCGCCGCTACGGAATTCACAACGCAAAATCGCCCAGCGCGGGTAAAGGCTGAAAGCGTCAGCCGAGAGGGAATTCTCGCCCCTGGGACCCACATTCTCACCCTCTAAGGCCTGTCCCAGGGTCGACCAGGATCGTTACATTGTCGACTAACTCCATACAGGGTACACCCCACGTGCCACTGAGCCCTACTCCAGGACTAGGCCGGCGGAAGTAAACACTCCGCGCTGTGCCTGCGAATGACCTCTCCGTCTTGCCTTTGCCGTCACTTCCGTTTCCGTGCCGGCGCAGACGCCGGAGGATTGCGAGTGGACAGCCGGGGAGAGAGAAGGCCCATCTAGGCGGTGTCTGAACTCGGACTCTATGGTCGTCCGCCCTCTGTACCTCCTCTCTAGCCTCCGCGCTCTATGCTCCGCGGTCGCTGGCCGCCGGCCGGCCGCCCGCCCGCCTGCCGGGAGGGGTGCGCAGAAGGAGGCGGGGCGGGAAGGCGAGAGGTGTCTCCTCCACCCGACCGGCGGGAGACCTGAGCAACCTCTGTGACAGCTCGTCGGCCGCCATGTCAGCGAGCGGGGCTGGAAACAGATTCGGCGCCCGGCGGTAGCCCTCCTTGCGTCTCCTGTTCCCAGGTAAGCGAGATGAGCGAGATGCAGGAAGAGCGAGATGCAGGAGACCTGCCGGCTGGTCGCCGAGGGGAAAGCTTTTGGGAACCCCCCTCGTTCCTTCCCCGGCGCTGTCCTCCTCTGGCAGCGCCGCCTCTGCCCTCCGGGTACAGTGGAGCCCCGTTCCCTCACCTCCGCCCCTTCTCCGCTCCCCTGTTTTCCTCTTTTTCTCTCGCCGCCGTGGCCTCTCCCTGCGCCGCGCGCCCATTTCTCCCTCCCTAGGGCACTCGCGCCAGAAGTCCTCCCTCGCCCGGCTGCCCGCGGAGCCTGCGGCTTCCTCTGCGCTTCTGTTCCTTTTCATTCTGTTGCCCACAGTCTCTCCACCTCTGCGGGTGATTTGTATTTTCCTGCATACCTGTTCCCCGCCCTCGCCTCACCACGTAGACTGTCAAGAAGCACCTAGTGCCTCCCTTCCATTCCTCCCTCCGGGCCAATGGGCCAATATTTACCTTTGTTTTTATTTTTATTTGCGTGTTATTAAAGGTGTAAAGTTAAGATTTTTTTAAAAAGATGTAAAAGCTTAGCATTCCTTCCTAAGCTTGGAAACATTAAGGTGTTAGAATGCTTATTTTGTTGCTTTTGTAAACTTAGTTCAACACATCCTACTGTGGAATGCAATTTAAAAGAGAGATTCCAAAGACTCTAAAAATAGGATGCCCTAATGGAAATTTTGGCAGTCTTTTTAACCTCTTAGGCAGTGTTAGAAGCCTCAATTCTTTGAGAGTGATTTCAGTATTTAAGGATTATACTCAAGAGCTTTAACAGCATCACTCTTTCTACCAAGGCAGGAAGCTGCAGGCATTCAACTTCCTATTTTAAAATATGCACCATTCTTTCTGCATACTTTACTGGCCGCGTAATTGATCTTGGCATTTTAAATGCACAAGGAAAAGGTTTCTAAGGAATGTATCACTTAGCAAATAGAAGTCTGAGGATTTACTCAGCTGATGAATATCAAATGGAGAAGGAATTGATGGCCAACTGTGATCTTTCTCCGATGATAAATTTGTTAGGACAGCATAGAAAGTATCTTATCAACTGTTGTAGAGCCCTGGGAACCCTTGGTCTTAATTTTTAAAAATTCTTTTTAAAATGCGATTTTGCCATTGACAGTTCTCTAGAAGTTATTATTCTTGCACCCTCTGAACACCTGAGTGAACACCAGACCACCTCCCATCCTTTTACTGAGTTGTCCCCTCTCTCCTTATAAAAGCATTTTTGTAGATTCAGAAAGACAGGAGCTCTGGAGGTCTAAATATTTTTAAAGTCAAAGCAGAAAGGTGTATTACAGTAAAGGAAGAAATAGTTCAGTTACAGAACTATGTGGTTCAGTTTCTCACTTTTAAAATATACTTTTAAAAATTGTGGTAAAAATACTTATCTTAAAATTTGGTTTCTTCATAATATTCAGTCCTGGAGAAATTGATGTCATTTTAAATTTTGCTTTTGAGTAGTGTTATTCTCTTCTGATTTTGGATGAGAGAATTAGGTTATGATAAGTATCTCCCCTTTTATAGTGTTAATAGTGGTTTGTTTGAGGCTGTAGGTGCTTAAATAACACAAGGGACAGAATATTACACATTTTATTTTTCTGAAGTCCCAGGTGCTAGAAATGAAAGAAATGTCTGTTTTACTTTAAAGATGAACCTTATAATCAGCATTTAGACCTACTTTATTAGAAAAACCTTGGTTGTTTATTCCCTGTTATTTTCTTAAGAAATATAGTTTTTGCATCTGGTACTATTTTTGCCTTTTTGAAGTAATGTAATATCTCTTTGGTGTCAGGCAAAATGATTCTACTGACTATTTTCAAGTTTTTTTTTTAATTATTATCTCAATTTAACTGATAAAGAAACCAAAATGCTTCTTTTCTTTTTACTTTTATGTTACTGTTGTGATTGGGAAATGCCAGGTGGTAAAGTTTGTTGTCAGAATTAAGGCTGTGGGTCTACAGTAGTACTGTCCAATAGAGATACTAAAGTTTTTTAGTCACATTACCAAAGTAAAAAAGAAATAGGTAGGATTAATTTCAACATGTTTTATTTAATCCTGTATATATCATTTCAACAAGTGATCTGTTTTAAAAGTTAACAATGAGATATTTTACATTCTTTCATACTGAGTCTGTGAAATTTCGTGTGTATTTTACATTTACAGTAATTTGAATTCTGACTAGCTACTGGTCTTAGCTCGTGGCTAAGACCTTATTGGCTAGCATATTGTCTATAGGATTTCTGTGTGATTCTTAAGATGTCTTCTTATCCTGAGAGTCTGGGGTAAACTCTGTGAGGCAAATTTAAAAATCCTTTTCCTAAAGTGAGAGGATGTTCAAACTGAGATGATTCTAAGCAGGATGAAAGTCCTGAAGAGCTTCTTCCTCTTGGTGTTGACTGTGTTAATAAACGAGGAGGATGAACAGGTTGCCCTGTGCTTGTTTAGTGAGGGTCATAAGGTGTATAGAGTGCTCAGTCATTTCCTGGGGTGTCATTATTACAGTTATTTACATCTGCATGTCAACAATGTGTCAAGGAACTGTATGGGTCTTTGTCTACTTAGTCTGTTGGCATTAAGTAGGGAGAACCTGAAGACAGAAGTTTGAACTTCACGGTGAACAGGTAGGATCTCTGCTGTTGGAGACATTTCCTGAAGCACTTTCAGGTATGGCTAAGAGTTTTGTATATGTGCTTCTCTATAGGATGGTGTTATCAAAGGAAAGATAAAATCTTTTTAACAGAAATTAGGAAGGAAGAGGGTATGTTTTTTGACTCCAAAACACTGGGAGTAGTAGCAAAACACAAATGTGTATGGTGGTTTGGGTAAACTGTAAAGGAAATATGGCAGTTTTTAGAGAAAGCTACTGACATATTGACTAGAAATGTGTTTTAACTTGTTTTTGCAGCAGAGATGGTGGTTTACATGGAACATCTCTTGTTCAGAGCTGTTAGGGCTGAAAGATAGCCTGGAAAGGTAACTCTGCAGCTCACAGACTTCAGTGGGTTACTATGACCCTTCATTGTTCCTATCTTGATGTTTGTATTCTGTTAAACTTACCTAAATACTATTTTAGCTGCACTGTTTTACATTTACACTTAATGTCAAAATGTTCTTGAAGGAGTAATTAATATTCATTGTAATTTAATGTGAGAAACTTGCCTCCTCCACAACTTTTATGGTGTAAATAAATCTTAAATTTATCTGATCAGTAAACAGATTCCTTCTGTAAAATCTAGTCAGTATAGACCTAGCACAGTGTTGGCAGTGTGTGCAGTATTAAAGGATCAAGGACATTTGGGCAAGGGATAGTTACTCGTTGTTGCTTGTTTCATGAGAGGTGCATGTATGTTATGTAGGAAAATGTAGCATTTTCATTTGTTTTTAAGTATAGGTGGCTATTCATTGCTACCATTTTAGTTAGATAAGAGAGGAAATACACTGTTTTGTTCCTACCAATTAGCCTTAGCCAGTTTTTCTTTATTTGTTAAGGATGAAGAATTGATAGTCTGGCAATTTGAAATTTTTTTTTCAGTTTTATTTCTTTTTTACTGTGCTGGGTCTTTGCTGCTGCATGGGCTTTTCTCTCGATGTGGCAAGCTGGGGCTACTCTCTAGTTGTACATGGGCTTAGTTGCCCCATAGCATGTGATGTCTTCCTGGATCAGGGATTGAACCTGTATCCCCTGCATTGGCAGCCAGATTCTTAACCACTGGACCACCAGTGAAGTCCTGGAAGTTTTTAAAAAGCTCAATTTAAGTGGCCTCTACGAGGATTATATTTTTATTGAGAAGTTCTACATTCAGTAATCTATGTCTCAGTACTCTTATGAGAGTGTTCTTTTGTTTAGGGCCTTGAAGATTCTTGTGAGTATAGGCTTTTCTTTATTTATGGATCATTCCTTTGGGTGGAAATTATATTTCCTTTTAACCAAGGGATACTTTTTAAAAATGCATTTGAAATAACTATTTTGTAATATTCTTTCATAAAAAGAAAAAAAATCATATCTGAATAATCTTCAAAAAAAGAAATACATCATTAAAAAGTTCTGAATCTTATAATAGCTTGAGATTTCTTAAATTGTTTTGTCACAGTTTTCAGATTCTGCTCTTTACCATATTTGGAGATGGAAACTTTTTGCCTTTATATGACCTCCTCCCTGCCATCTCTTAGGGCTCCCCCCCCTGCCCCCACCACCCCCGTTCATCATCATTAGCCATGTGGAGAGGAAAGGTAGTGTGTGTTTGTCAAAATACAGTTCAAGATTATTTTTCCCTTTGACTGTAGGATAAATTTTTTAAAAGTTTTAATGACAGATTTAGTCATTTATTAACATTGGAGCATTTGATATTTTAATTGACTGTACCTAAGAGATTTTAAGGGTTTCCCTGGTAGCTCAGATGGTAAAGAGTCTCCCTGCAGTGCAGGAGACCTGAGTTCGATCCCTGGGAAGATCCCCTGGAGAAGGAAATGGCAACCCACTCTAGTATTCTTGCCTGGAAAATACCATGGAGAGAGGAGGTTAGCAGTCTACAGTCCATGGAGTCACGAAGAGTTGGACATGACTGAGCAACTTCACAAGAGATTTTAGGAATTAACAATACCTGTGTTTCAGTTCAGTTGCTCAGTCGTATCTGACTGTTTGCGATCCCATGGACTGCAGCACGCTAGGCTTCCCTATCCATCACCAGCTCCCGGAACTTGCTCAAACTCCTGTCCATTGAGTCGGTGATGCCATCCAACCATCTAATCCTCTGTCATCCCCTTCTCCTCCTGCCTTCCATCTTTCCCAGCATCAGGGTCTTTTTCAAGGAGTCAGTTCTTTGCATCAGGTGGCCAAAGTATTGGAGTTTCAGCTTTGCATCAGTCCTTCCAATGAATATTCAGGACTGATTGCCTTTGGGATGGACTGGTTTGATCTCCAGCAGTGGAAAAACCATAGCTTTGACTAAATGGACTTTTGTTGGCAAAGTAATGTCTTTGCTTTTTAATATGCTGTCTAGGTTGGTCATAATTTTTCTTCCAAGGAGCAAGCATCTTTTAATTTCTTGGCTGCAGTCACCAACTGCAGTGATTTTGGAGCCCGAAAAGATAAAGTCTGTCACTGTTTTCCCATCTATTTGCCATGAAGTGATGGGACCAGATGGCATGTTCTCAATGTTGAGCTAGCTCTTTCACTCTCCTCTTTTACTTTCATCTAGAGGCTCTTTAATTCTT